AATTTATATGTTTTCTTTTTACCTGACAAAAGGTAGCATAGTGTGGCACAGTGCATTACTTAACATGGCTCTTCCAGTCATTGTCTTTGTGACTCCCACCAGATATGGTGTGGAACTATGCAAATGTGAGGTGCTTATGGTCTGCCAAGGGGATTGGATAACTTGTTAACAATGGAAATAAGGTATATGGCATACTTGTGGGGGTAGGACCATGGAAATAAGGTGTATGGAACACTGACATGGGGATTGGTCAATTTTGCTATACTGCTAGGCTTAAAATGAACCATCTCAGAGGTGGAAAAGGGACTCACTGCTATCAGAACAGAGAAGAGCCAGGTGGGAGTATAAGGTGTCCTTGGACCCAGTATCCCTACACTGAGACAATGGCAGAAAGATGGCAGAGAGACAGTGGGAGCACAGGCAGCAGAACCAAGAGACAGGCAAGGCATGGAATGGAATGGCAAGCTTGCTGGCCCATGGAGCAAAAAAACTGAGTGTCTTTGGGCAGGAGGCTTTCTCATGGAGTAGGGTGCACACAAAGCTAAAAGAGCTTTGTAACACTTGCCTGAGCAGTGCAGAGGCCAGGTTGAGAGGACAAAGGCCAAAGAGAGGGGTACCTGTGGGCATGGCCAAGAGGAGGCTGTCCTGATGAAGCAACTGTATCCTGAGCATTCCTGAACCTGAATTGTAAACTGTTGCTTCCCTAGTAAACCCTAGAATCATGAGTATTGTCTGTGAGTTCTGTGTGGTCATTGCAACAAATTATTGAACCCAGCAGAGAAGTAGAGAGTGGTGTGGGAGGGATGGTTGAGGTCAGAATTGGTAAAAAAAAAAAAGAGTTGGAAAGTGGTGGCATGTCTGACTTCTGCCTCATAGGAACCAGCCTTGGGCTGTTGATGTTCTGGATCCTCCTTTTCCCTTGTGAAGTGAGAGGAGGTTGGATGAAGCCACCCCCTCGTCTTTTTTGTACATAGAAACAAAAGATTTAAGTTCCCATCAGGAGCAGATGGAACTGAGCAGCTCTAAGAGAGCTTCCAGTAATTTACTTTGTAAACAAGCACACCCTATAAAAGCTCTTGGAAATTCAATCTTCAAGAAGATTATTATCAAATGGAAGATGTTAGCTGCTGTCAAGTCAGCCATGACTTATAGTAACCCCACACACAAGGAACAAAATGCTGCCCAGTCCTAATAAGCTCCCATAATTGGTTGTAGATCTGGTTGTTGTGATCTATAGGATTGTCATTGGCTGATTTTTGGAAGAGGGTTGCCAGACTTTTCTTCCTAGTCTGTCTTAGTCTGGAAGCTCCATTGAAACCTGTTAAGCTTCATAGCAACATGCAAGCCTCCACTAAGAGACACACGGTGGTTGAGCATGAAGTGCCTTGGTTTTAAATTGAGAGCCTCTCTGAGTGGATGGCAAGAATTCTACTACTGAACCACCATTGCCCCCTGGTTGAAGAAAGAGACAACCCAAGGAGGGGTAGTTACGAGGTTTTTTTTTTTTTTTTTTTTAAATGAAAAAGGAAAAGGAGCTCTGATGCTGCAGTGCCTACAGCATTTGATTGCTAACCCGAAGACTGATGGTTCAATCCCACCAGCTGCTCCATGGAAGGAAGATGAGGCAAACTACTTTCCTAAAGATTTACCACCTTGGAAACCCAATGTGAGTTGTTCTGAGTTGGAACCAACTCAAAGGCAGTGAGTTTGGTTTTGGTTTTGAATGAGAAAGGAAAGCAAAATGTGCCAAGAGAGCACATAACCCAAGATGCGAGAGGGATTTCCCCAGAAGGTAGTGATTTTTATCTGAATGGTGTTCTAAGGGAGAGGACTTTGTTGAGCATTCCAAGGAGAGGATTACCACTATAAATGTAGAGAGGCATGAAAATACCTGGTGGGTTTTGGGCATTTCAAGCGTTTCATAAATTCAGATTGTTGGAGAGACTGTCAGGCTGCTGGATAGAGAGTGGCAAATAACAAGCACCAAGCAAATAAATGTTAACCATGATTACTAATAGCCCTCACTCTCCACCTTACTATTACTGATTAGAGCATTTTGATTTTCACGTGTTGATCTGTTCCAATTTAAAAAGCAAATTAGTACTTCCTTTACCTCCAACGGCAACATCCAGGTGATCTGTCATTTAGGGTTTAGTGAGAATGAAAGATCAAGGGCAGGTTTGCATGGGGAGAGGAAAGGCGTATGGGATGGGTGGGTTGGTAGGTAGGAGAGAGAGACCTCAAAAAAAGGAAAGTGACCAAGCAAGGAGGACATCAAGGCCTGGAAGAAACTGCACCCATTCCACCTTTGCTTGGGATGCTTGCACTGAGTCAGCAAGTCCTTTTGGAAATACATGGAAGAATAAATGTCATCATCAGTTGATCATTAATTTCTTATGGGTGACTGGTTTGTCAAGGTGCTGTCCTGTAGGAATAGTTAATTAAGAAGGCATGGAATACCATATTGAGTGGCATAAAGACATTTTGAAGGGGAAGGATATGGGTATGTGGAGGGAAAAAGGCAGTCAGACAGGTCAGAACATGTCCTGTGGTGAAGGAGACAGAGGTCAGAGGGGTCTATAAATGCAGAGGGAAGATGTGTGTGTGTGCACATGTGTGTGCATGTGCACAGAGGAATGAAATCACCACTCTGCCTGGGCTTAAACTTGAGGGACTTTCAGAAGTAAACTTTTAGGCAGCAGACATGTTTTATGATCCATGCGCTGCTTTCATGTCTCCTATTTCACTTGCTTCTTCAGATCACCCTATGAAGGAAGAACTTTTCTTATTCCATAGCTGAGGAAGCCAGGGCTGAAAGGCTACGTGACTTGATCACTTGCTTACCCACAGGGTCCAACAGGATGAGAAGCCCACTCTGTCTGACTCACAAATCTGTACCTTCTATGCTCCCCAGTATGCCCTGGGTGGCGGCCCACCCATTTGTTCCTTGCTCTCACAGAACCCACAGGGGGCTCTTTCTGACTCCTATTGGGCATACCCTCACTCCAGTTCACATGTGCCAGTCAGACTGCACAGGAAGACTCTTACGCACTGCAGAGGCCTTCTGCGGTGCTTAAAGATTCTGAACATGTTTAGTTCCCAAGTAAACAATACTGGACTTTTTGGATAAATTTAGTGATTTAAAATGATTAAACAGTTAACTGCTGGGACAGATTGGGGAAATAGGGGAGTTCTTCTAAGGTGCTGATAAAATGTGCACACATTTTTAGAATAGTCTTAGATCTTATGCTAAAGATTAATTGTGTATAAAAATTACCTTATGCAAGCCTTTGGAAACAGCAGTGTAGACAAATGCTTTGGATCCTCTTTCATAGGAGGGAAGAAAGGCTTAGGGGAACCAAAGAACAGTGGGATTAGGGACCAAAACCAAACTAACTGCTGACCAGTCAAATAGCCCATACGGTTTCCAAGCCTATATATATCTTTATGCAAGCCACATCTTTCTTCCAAACTCAGTGCCATCTAGATTAGGGGCCAAAAGAAAAACAAACTCACTGCCATTGAGTCGGATTCAAAACATCTGTTCACCTTCCAGCCACATGCATCCCCATCCTGCCTTCCATAAGCCAAATGAAGTTCTGAAGGTCTTAATGGCTTTGTTTTTCCTACCTACCGCCACCCACTGCTTTCCACCAAACCTCTCTCTAAGGTACAGGTTCCACCTCTTCTTTGATGCCTCCAGATACTGTAAACATTGCTTCTTTTTCTCTGACTCTGACTGAGGCCTGATCAAACAAAGTACAATTAGAATCCAAAGATACTGCCCTGTACTTTGACTATGGCAGAGAAAGTGTTTTTCGCCAATTTGTTACATACCTTCTGCCCTCTCCTTTGCCTATCTCAGGGCCTGAAACTTAAATACTGTGGTCACACTAGCAATTGCTTGTGGTGAATGGTCAGCAGGTGTGGGTTGAGGCAGCGGGTTGAAGGCAGCTGGCAAAGTGCGTGACGTGGGGCGGGGACCCAAGGAACACTGGGCGCCTTCAGCTTGGAAGCAGCTGGCTCAGAAAAATTATTGCAAGTCTGCACAACTTAAAAATCTGCAGTTTGGGGACGGGAGGCGGAGCGCGGGGGTGGGTTCCCGAGCGTCCCGTTTCTCCTCAGGGCGGTTCACCGCGCGTTCTCGCTCAGTGCAGAGAGGGCGGCGGTGCCGTCTGGACCGCACTCCGCCTTCGCTGAGGTCCTGGTTTGCTCGCCAGCCGTGGCCAAAGGCATCCTCTCTGACCTCTCTTCTGTCCGTCAGTTTTCCGGACCCGATCGTTCCCCTTTCTCTGTTGCATATGTCTAGCCACCTTTTCCGATTTGGTAAGTCGAGGAATTGAGAATGTAAAACCTAGTTCTGCACTGTGCCGGAGTCTTCAGGCGGTGGGGCTCATGGTAAGTAAACATAGGCTGGAGCAGGGGCTGTTTCTTCCTTCGCACTTTGTTTTAAAATAAGTTAGGGCCTCGCGGCTTCCTAAAATCCTAGTAAATATGCCAACTGTCGCTTGGGCCGCGACTTTCGAAAGGGGACTGACTAGCCTTCCGAGGCACGGAGGTCACCCTCCGGCGGGGATGCGGCGCTCTCAGCCTGGGAGGGCTAGCAGGTGGAAGGCGCGAGGCGCGCTCCTACTTCCGCCAGGACAGGGCCGGCCGCTCTAGGGGTGACTCTGCACTTGGGCTTCGGCGGGGGCGCGCTCCCCGCAGTGCCATCTCTCTGCCCATCCACCCACCTGCCTGTCGTCCTTCTAAGCCCGGCAGCTTGTAACTCCCAGCTCCCGAGAGCCGCGCCCTCAGCCCTGGGCTTTTGGGGCTGCGGGCCCGACGCCAGGCGACGAGCCGAGACAGAACCAATTGGGCGGCGGCCGAGCGACGGGCCCCGCCTCGCCCCGCCCCGCTATGCTGCTCCCGGACGCCGCGCTCCCGCCAAGCTTCGCCCGCTAGGACCGACAGACGCACGCGGGGCCGCCGGCTCTCCTCGCCGCCGCGGCGGCGGGCGCGGGGCCGCGCGGCGAGGCCTGATCCCTGCAGCGCAGGCGGCCGGCGTCGCAGAGCATAGGGAGTCAGATGCGCCCGGACTCCTGCTGGTACCTGCTTCTGTCTCCACCTTCCCGCGCGTTCTGGACACTTCCCCGTGAGACCCTGCAACTTTAGCGCATCTTCCCCCGCCTTTTGCTACCCCAGTCTTCCCAGTGATCTAGGTCCCGGGTGCAAGACCTCGCAGGTCTACGCCCGCAGGGGACTTTGCATCCTACTGGATGCCTGCCTGGCGGCGCTCCCCATCTTCCGGTCCCTTGAGGCTGCCGTCGCTGGAGTCCTATGGCTCCGCCTGTTGCTCGAGCTGCGGGCAGCCAAGACGGTGTCTGAGTCTCTGTAAAAGCCGTGTAGAAGGTATCTAGGATCAGCTCTCAGGGATGAGGTTTTTGGGACTGGGCTGGGGTGGAGGAACGACCCGAGGCGGGAGATTCCGTCAACTGGATGGAAAGGCGGCACCTAGAGTAGGGGCATTCCCGGGGCGTTTCCTTGGCAGGGAAGCCCTACCTTCCTTTCCTAGAGAGGAGGCGCTTTCCTGGCGAATGTAAGCGTTTCCCAGGCCGCCTGCTCCGCCTTCTTCCCTGGCTTTCCTCTCCTCCCCTTTGCCACGCAGTGGTTCAAAGAGCCCCGCGACAGTTTCAAGGAAGAGCGCACCCATGGCCTTTACCTTGGTGCAGCGCTGCGCCCAGGGACCGCCTGCGCGCTCTGGGTGGGGGCAGCTTGAGACTTGAAGGGCAGATGTCCAGCCGCCCACGAGGTCTCCGCGTTTGGATCAGTGTTAGTGGTGGGAATGGGTGCTCCAGGGTTGGTAACTTCTCTTTCCCACCATCGGCTGGGTGGCTGCGGGACCTCTTAGAGTGACGAGGTTGTCAAGTGAGCGGGACTTGCCGGCAGGGGCCGCGGCGAGCTGGGCTGAGCGCCTTTCGCATTGCGGGGCTTGTTTTGCGGCCCCCGGCTTGCGCTGCCCCTCCTCGCTCCTTTCGGGAAAGGAGCTCCTTTTGCGCCCTTGATGTCTTTCTCTGCTTGGCGAGGCCGAACCCACAGCTCTAAGCTTAATTAGGGCGGCGAGCGGCTAGGGTAGAGAAGCAAAAACTCCCTCCATCCAGCAGGATGACCTGGGCGGGAGCCCTGGTTTAATGTAGGGCAGATGTGCGGGTGGAGGGAGAAGGTTCGTGCCTCTGTGGTTCGAGAGTTCGCCTGGGCTCTTGGTGGTTTTATTTCACATTATCCTCTAAAGAGAGTGAAGCAGGCGGAGAAAACCAGGTCAGAAACCTTACCCGTCCCTTTGGTTGTGATTACGTGATTTGCACAACCATTCGCTTAGAACTGTATGTTACCCTTTAGTTGTCCCCCTTTCGGACGACTCTCAAATACATGCTCAGGTAAACAGGAAGCAGGCATTTTCCAGAGCACTTGTCCTCTTAGTAAAGGCAGATGCCCTAGTACTTCTCTTCCTTACACATCTGCAGCTTGAAGGGGGGCGGAGTTGCTTCTCTGGTAAACTTGCTGTAGGTCCCCCTTTTTGCCTGCGTTGTAAACTCCATGAGGATATTCATTCATTCAGTAAGCATTTACAACCCTGCACTGTGGCCAAGTTCTGGGCCATGCCCTGCAGATACACAGTGGTAGATGACATGGTGTCTGCTCCCAGTCTACTCCTGTTCTTTTATTCTCACTAGATTCCTTCCTTCTCCTCTTCTAATGTTAAGCTTGTCATTTCAGAACTAGTATTTGGCAATATTGGAACAGGGAGCAGAGAGTGGTGTTGAAGTACTTATGCATTCTTAATCCAAAGTATGTTGTGAGTGTTTTAAGGAGACTTAGTGGTGGTGTCTGTTGTGTGTGTGCATGTTTGTGTGTTTTAAGAAAGAAGGCGTAAAGTAAGGATTCCAACTACCTTCTCCATCTTCAATGATGTTTTTTCCTTCACTGTAATATTTCACAGGGTCTGTGTCCTTTTGTTCTATCACAGATCCCACTCTGATGTCTGATTTGACATTTGGGTCCTGGATACCAGAGGCCTAACCCACAGCTCCTCAGGATTTTCATTCTCCTCCTTTACTTTTCTTCCTTTCATTTTGAAACACGCACTGTCATTGAGTTGATTCTGACTCATAGTGGCTCTATAGGACAGAATAGAACTGCCCCACATGGTTTCCAAGGCTGTAAAACTTTATAGAAGGAGACTGCCTTATCTTTCTCCCATGGAGTGGTGGGTTAGAACCTCTTGGTTAGCAGCTTGAATGCCTTAACCACTGTGCCACTAAAGCCTCCCCCACCCACCCCTTTTTAACCACTCCTCAGAAGGAAGGTTGGGCAATCCTACTTCCGTAGTGATACTGCCTCGGAAACCCAAGGAGGGGTCGCTATGAGTCGGGTTTGACTCGACGGCGCATAACAACAACAACCCCTTTTTAATAGCTAATACTTATTGGCTGCATACTGTATGTCAGATACTGTGCTAGGCACCTTTCCGGGCATTATTTCATTTAATCCTCACAATAACCCCATGAGTAAGTGTAGTTTGTGTCCTTTACAGTGTTGTTGGTAGAGCCAGCAATAGATAGGGCCTCCCTATTTGGACCCTGAATCAGATGGGAGGCCAGGAGGATGGAAATGGGTGATGCTTCCCTGGTTTGCTGGCCACCTGGCTGAAAGTCTGCTTGCTAGCAGGGAAGGACAGCTGTTCAGGGAAGGTCAAGGTAGTCAGGAAAGTAACTATTGTTCCTGCTCATGAGCTGTTAGGATGGTAGAGTGCACACTTAATGCCAATATTCAGCAGGAGACATAATAGAGAACAGATAAGGATGTGGCAAGCTGGGCTCCAGCTGTGATTCTGTCTCTCTGTGGCACTTAAGTTACATTGCTTTTCTGGGTCTCAGTCTGTTTAGCTACAAGGGTATTGTTGCCAGTTGCTGTCAAGCAGGCTCTGACTCATGACAACCCTATGTGCAACAGTGTGAAATGTTACCTGTTCTGCACCATTTTTAGGACCACTGGTATGCTCAATCCATTGTAGTGGCCACTGTGTATTTTATGTACCATTCTACATAGGGGATTCATCTTACAGCACTATATTGGACAATAATCTATTGTTATCCATAGGGTTTTCATCGACTGATTTTCAGAAGTCAGTTGCCAGGTCTTTCTTCCTAGTCTCTGCTAGTCTGTGAGCTCTGCTGAAACCTTTCAATCATGGGTGACTACTGGCATTTGAGATACCAGTGGCATGATTTCTAGCATCATAGCAATATACAAGTCACCATAGTGCAGCAAAATGACAGATCTCTAATATTTATTGTTAAATGCTACATGTAATAACTCATTTCATCCTAATGACAACTGTAGGAGATCGGTTCTATTACCTCATTTCAGATGAAGAAAAAGAGACAAAGTAATTAACTTGTGCAAGATCACACAGCTAGGAAAATGTGAAGCCAGGAGCTTTATCTGGCAGTCTGACCTCAGAGCTACTGCAAGATTCTGTCCCGCTTGTTTATCCCTACAGCCCCAATTCTGTACCCTGCACTTAGTAGGATTTTTAGACCCAATTTGTTAAATGGTTACAGTAGAGGTGGCTTGTGAATACCAAGTGACTTTTGGGCTCCATATCTTCAACCTTAAAAGGAGCCTCGAAGACTACACTAGAAAAATGTTCTCTTTGCCTTTGCCAAAATAGTCTGCTTTCCAATGGCATTATGCCCAGCTGGTTGAGAAAAAAGGAAGACAGACCATAAAGATCATGGGCTAGGCAAGCATTGTGGCTATTTCTAGAAAATGTGTTTATTATTAATATGGGAAACCAGAGAAAAGCCATAGAACACTTTGCATTCTGAATCAAATCCATCAAATAAGTTAACTGGTAACCAACCCACATGTATTTTTTTGTGACTGTCATGTGTCCTTTACTGCTGGCATCTAGGGCAGGCAGAATCCAAGATCTGGTCTCTGAGCTTGAACTTAGAGTGGAGCTGGAGACTCAAGTTAACAAGCACAAAACAGGACAATACAAGATACTATTTAACCCAAAACAAACAAACCCATTGGTGTCCAGTTGATTCTGACTCATAGTGAGCCTTTAAGACAGAGTAGAACTGCCCCTTAGGATTTTCAAGGCTATAATCTTTGTGAGATCAGACTGCCACATCTTTCTCCTGCAGAGCAGCTGATAGGTTTGAACTGCCAAAACTTTCATTTAGCAGCTGAGCGCTTTAACCACTGTGCCACCAAGTGGTCTTTGCTGTTTAAGTACTGATGAAAATCACAATGACTCCATCAAACTTGTGAAGCCTTTTATATTTTGCAAAAATTGTCACAGGTGTTATTGTATTTCAGGCCTCATATTAACTGAGTGAGCTAGGGAGCAGAGGCTAGGTAGCCCATATTGGAGTTACAAAAAATAAGGCAAAGTGAACCTCAGATATGGCCAAAGCCAGATGTCTTCTGACTCCAAGTCCAGCATCTTTCTGCCTCATTTCTCTCTGGTGCCATAGGGTTTTCATTGACTGATTTTCAGAAGTCAATTGCCAGGTCTTTCTTCCTAGTCTCTGTTAGTCTAAGCTCTGCTGAAACCTTTCAATCGTGGGTGACCCTGCTGGCATTTGAAATACCAGTGGCATGATTTCCAGCATCATAACTATATACAAGCCACCATACTACAACAAAATGACAGATCTCTAATATTTATTGTTAAATGCTACATGTAATAATAACTCAGGTTGCTCAAGAAAGGAGACAGTGAGATGTGGAAAGTCCTTAGAGGTGGCTGAGCTTGAGTTTCACTCTGAAGCTGCCTTTTCTTTGCTGGTCTTGGCTATCCAGGGTGGCTAAGTACTCCTTTGGAGAGGCTGGGGAAAGAAGAGCAGTTATTTATTTATTTATTTAAATGTGTTCTGGGATGAGAAGTATGACATGTGAAGTCTGGAGAGAAATCCCAGTAACAATGTAGAATGTGCAATAAAATGTAGAAGCTGATTTAGAAGAAGTTTCATCCCTATATTCCTTTATCATTTCTCTAGGTCAACTTTTGAAACTTTGCAGCAGTATACATGCA